GCAGGTCTTGCGCAGTCAACCCCAATGGGGCTTCAAGCGGGAGAACAGGATTACACGCGCGTGCCCAAAGATTAACTTTGCTTGCGGTGGTTCACTAACTCTTTCGCGCAATCTCTGGCGGTCCCTTGAAGGGCGGCGGTTCTTGAGGGCCCCCGAGCCGCCGCGCGCGCGGCGGCCCTGCCATCTTCTGCGTGGGAAAATACAATTCGGGAGCACCAAGAACCGCCGCGCGCGCGGCGGCCCTGCCATCTTCTGCCATATTCTGCCACTATGCTGATGAAGCTGGTTGGAACTGGTTGATGATGAGGCTACGTTAATGATAGCGGTTGGTGCTGAGGCTGGTTGACTATTGTGATGGGTAGTAATGTTTTTGTCTCAGTCCTCGTGATCCGGGTGCTCCGACATGCTCTCCTTGCCGCGCTGGCGCTTGATTGGTCTGGCCTCAGGAGCGATGAGCATCGGCCGCGCCTTCGCGCCGTGCGCCGTGGGGACCCGTTCCTTCCCGCCCGTCTCCCCCGATACGAGCGCCTGGGAAACCTCCACGAGTTTGCATGATGTCTGCTGCTCGTCCACGGCAGTGAAGTGCGGGAAACTGTAGCTCTCGGATCTCGCGAAGTCTGCTCGGAGAGGTAGGTAGTCGCACACCTTCGCGGCCAGGCTGTCCATCGTGATGCCCTCATATACGTTGCCGCGGTACCTCGCCGCGCGCGCGTACGACAGGAAAACCTGAGCATTCTGGCCAGGCATGATAAATTGCGCTAAGGATTCCGCGGTCTCGATGCTGAAGGAAAACACGCGGCATTGAGCCTCTCGAACGAAAAGCAGAAGATATTCGAGTGTGTGCGAGAAGAGCAGAGGCCCCTTCAGAAGCGAAATAGTCTTCAATACGTCAGCAAACTCCGCCACGCATGCGGCGCGGAGCAGTCTGTCCATCTTGTCCCAGCATCTCCAGGCTGGCGTTAAGATGTGGTCCTGGATTTTTCCGAAAGTCCAGCGCCGCTGCTCGGCCGTAGCCAAATCATAGGCGCTGACTGTATTGTTCTTCAAGCCAACGGCCGCCGGGCCCCGCAAAACGACCCTGTCGATGATTTGTGGGAGAGCGGCTGCCGAGTCCAGGAGGGTGTCCAGGTGCTCTTCGAGGAACGCCAGCAAGCGGACGCTCCGCACCGAAAGGAACGATAGCGTCGCGAGCAAAACCCCTCTCTTCACCTGCACCCGGCGGGTTACGTCTGTGATGTTGCTCAGTTTCTCACAACGGTGCCGCCACCACGCTCTTGCCCTGTCGAAAAAAAAAATCGCCCCCAATCCATTTGCACACAGGGTGCAATCGCAGCAAGTGTATCACATCTCCCATGCATAGACCAGTTCGCAGATTTTTCTGATTGATGATGCACGTGTATCGCTCCAGTGATAAGGACACGCCGCTCCGCTGCTCGTAACCAACAATTGTGCGCCCAGCGGCGTTCCGGCATATGCAGTATGGCGCCATGAGCATTACAAGCAAGGATGAAGGATTGTCATATTCAGCGCAGGGCAACCTTCGATAAATGAACCGGAACGATTCCAGAACACCCAATGCATTGTGCAGCACAGAAGGAAAGGTCATGCAACTCAGGTACGCGATCTGGCGGGCGGCCTGGCTATCGCCAGGCGTCGCCCTGCTGGTTTCTCGATCGCACAGTTCCTGCGGGGAATTCTTTGCAGACCCCCCCCGCCGATACGGGCGTCAACGCTCCAGCGAGAATCAGGCACGTCAATAGGCATGCGGATCCTCAACAATATGTCATTGCTTAACCGTTGAGGCTCTGACCAAAATGACACGCTTGAGCCTCAACCGAAATGGTTACGGATGCGTTTCGCCGAATCTGGCCCGAGATTGGGTGGGCCGCCTCAGGGCGAGGCATCTCTGGACTTAGTTGCGAAGATGTTTTAGGCGAAACGGACAACATCACTTCGTGCACGGCATCTCTGAGCCCAAAGTTTGGGAACGTCTCAGGCGAGACTGGGTGGACCATCTCAAGCCGAGGCATCTCCGACCCCAGAGTTGCGAGGATGTCTCAGGCGAAGCTGGTCCGACCATTTCGTGCGCGGCATCTCTGAGCCCAAATTTGAGCGGATGTTTCACGCGAGACTTGGTGGACCACCTCAGGTCCAGGCATCTTTGAACCCAGAGTTGAGAAGATGGTTCCGGCGAGACTGGTTGGAATGCTTCGTGCGCGGCATCTCTGAGCCCAAAGTTCGGAGCATGTCTCAAGCGAGAATGGCCGGGCCACCTCGGGTAAAGTCATCAATTCGACCAGAGTTGCGAGGATGTATCATGCTAAAATGGCTGGGGCGCTTCGCGCGGGGCATCTGTAAGCCCAGAGATGGGGGATGCACCGAGAGCTAAGTGGCAGGATCAACTCAGGGCGAAGCATCTCAGAACACAGGGTTGCGAGGACGTCTCAGGCGAGACTGGCGGGATCGCCTCGTGCGCCGCACCTCCGAAACCAAAGTGAGTAAGATGTGTCCGGCGGACCTGGCCGGAACACCACGGGTAAGGGGATCTCTGAGCCTACGGTCGACATGGCAACAATAAACATGGATCAAGAACACACGCCCCTTCGCCGAAGGCCAAGGGCCCCATGAAGATGCCTGAAAGAAAGACCAGCCCAATGTAGGGGTCCAAATGGCGAAGAACAGAAGAACACCCCTCCGAAATCATGGCGATTCTTTCCCCTCATGCCAGACCACCTCTTGCGCGGCATCTCGGAGCCCAAAATGGCCAGAGCGATTGCTTACGCGCGGCACCGTCGAGGCAACAACCGTCAGCGTCGCCGCCGGCGTCATCTTTGTCGTCGTTGTCGTCGTCGCCGCCGCCGCCGTCTTCGTTGTTGTCCGCATCCTCCTCCTCCTGGTCCTCCTCGTCCTCCTCTTCCGTCCTCGTCCTTCTCCTCCCCCCCCTGCTCCTCTCCCCGCCTGGCACGCCCCCTCCTCCGCCTCGCCGCCTCCTTCTCTTCAGCCTCCTCCTCCTCCTCCGCCTTCTCCTCCTCTTCCTCCTCATCCTGCCTTTCTTTCTGCCGACCGAGCCGGGCTGCCCGGCCAAACCGGGGGCGAAGGACGAAACGAAACGAAGGAGGGAGGAGATGAGGGAGAAGACGAGGGCGCACGGCAAGGAGGCAGGGGCAGCGGCAACGCGGATAGGGGAGGAGACGAGGAGGCAACGAGTACTCAGGCCAACTCCGCTACTGTTCCTCGAGACACGATGTGAACTGTTCTCAGGTCCCATCGATTGTCTTTCCAAGGGCATGAATATTATCATAAAACCCACATCCCGGAGTTCCAGGCGATCCAAGGATTGCTCGCGTGACCTCCACACCCCAAAAACACCATTTCGCCTGAGACACCATCGAACAATCTGGCCCCGAGGGTGATACTCGAGTTTGGCTACCGAGCCCAACCATCCGAAAATTACGCCACACTCGCGCCCCCGAAGCCACGACCCCCCGTAAAGTACGCCATATCCGCGCCCCCGAGGCAACGATCCCTCGTAAATGAGGCCACGTTCGCGTCATCGCCGTTGCCGTCGTCGTCGTTTCGGACCTCGGTCCTTGAAAGAAGCCCCCCGAGGCACCCCAAGAGGCCCAAAAGTGGCCCCACGAGGGCCTCGGTAATCTCAAGAGAGCCCCAAGAAAGCCCCAAGAAGCCCCCAAGAGGGCCCCAGGAGGATCCCAAGAGGCACCCAAGAGGCTCGAAGAAGGCCCCGCGCCGCCGACGAAATTGCGTCCCGTAAGATTATTACTTGCGGGAGACAAATCCTCTATACCTTTTTACACTTTTAACGCACGGGGGACCCTCCCAGACCCCTCCGACAGGGGCCCTCTTGGGGCCCTCGTGGGACCATTGCCGACCGCCGACGGCCCCCTCCGACCCCCTGGAAAATTTCTGGGAGCCAAGAGGATGTATGCGTCAACGCACTTACGATAAGAATGCATATGCACTATTGTAGGGTGCATTAACCGATGGTGAAGAGAATGATGATGATTGGGATGACGTCGCAAGACGTCGGGCACGCACAGCGATGATGATGTTACTTTTGTTGGCATACAACAACAAATGCTTCGATGCTTGCGAACTGCTGCGTACAACTGTATACGCAACAGCGTTGAAACGCTCGGCCTGTCAGCGCCTGCACGAGCCAACAGCGAAGCAGAGAAAGACGGCGATGAAACCAGGAAGTACATCACGCGAATCGTGTCTGAGGCCCGTCTAAGCGCGAAGATCTGCGGCCTTCATCTGTACGCGCACAAGCAGTGCACAAGTCTGGCCGCTCGGCTCCTGCACGAGCCAGCAGCGCGAATGAAGATGGGCAAAAACAGATACGCGGCCAACTGGTAATCATTTGAGAAGCGTTGCCATGGCCTGCCACGGGCCCATTCCTCTTGTCCAGTATTCGCATTGTGCTGATTTGACTGCCACCGTAAAAGGCGCGCGACCCCAGTTTCATACATTGATTGTTGTGGATGCGGGCCTTCAGGAATCTCCAGCAACTATCAATTGTTTGAGTTCCCGACTTGCGCCAAAATCTTTTACCGTCGACGCTATGCTGCACTGTAGCTACGTATTTGGGCATGGTCCAAAAGTAACGCCCAGTCTTCTTGTTGAACACTCTGTTTCTCTTGTGCACGACCTGGTCCCGCACAGTTCCTGGGACATTAGTTTCGCGATGAGCTCTTGCTGAGCCAGCATGTATAACAACACAGCGGTGCTGCAAACGTTTCTTGGCGATGGCTTTCCAGCGATCCTTTGTCATCGGCCCTGGGCCCGGCGACCTCGCCAGGGTGGGCGAGTTCTTCGAGCGAGTGAGCACTCGAGTTCCTGGGTGGCCTCGACGCAGAATACCATTCCAGTTTTCCCGAGCAAGCGCCTTGTCAGACGTGCTGCGTGGAGGGCGGAGTAGCACCTTGCCGAACGAGGCGTCGTCAACTTCGGCGTCGTGCCACTTCTCCGCCAGTGCTCTTTTCTCGCTGCCATGTCATGACCTTCTCCTTTCGCTGCACGGAAAGTTTGCGGGCATTCCGCAGTAGGCCGTGCGTGTGGATTACGGACCTACGCGCACGCCCCGTCAAATGGATGGCGCTAGTCACGGAGTTCGTCGTGGACAGACATAGTAAGTTCATGAGCTGCTGGTGGAGAGGTGCCGAACGTCGCCCATGATGCAGTAGTGGAAGTTGACCCCATGGAAACTTACGATGTTGACACGTATAAGACGAGCAGCGGTGAAATGGCTTGCTCCCGTCAGATCGAAACTGCTTGGCACCAAGAATTCCCTCCTCACACACAGGACAGCGCTCTCCATGCAAGTCTTTTGCGAGACCTAGCTTGAGCATGAAATCCCATATCTCTGCCTCTGTCATGCGGGCCAAGTCAACTAAAGTTATGCTTATTTTGCGATCCCGTGGATCCCCTCTGATTTCTGCTGCCGCGGACTGCGTGTAGGTGGCGCGCTTGGGCACTCTGCCGCGCGCGGGCTTGCGCCGCTGGTTTTTTGGCAAGTCCCAGAGTTTTCATAACGCTGCGGCCATTGCGAACTCTGCCGCGTTTCGGCACAAATTTCCCCATACTTCACACCGCGGGTAGCTGTTCTTAAGCCGAATCGCCGAGAGAACCCACCTCTTCCCACTCCTGGCAGCGATGCCCGAGCAAGCCAGCGGAGATAGGTCTGACGACGACTGCAACATGTTTTCCTGCATCCTCGCTTCCAGGCAGTCGACGTCAGCTGGGGCCGCCAGCGCAGAGCGCGCGCACTGCGCGCTGCAAATAAGCGGAGGCGCCTGCACCAAAAAGCGCCCGCGCCGAAACGGCCTTGGATGCGCCGCCCCTGCTCAACAGTGACCTATGGTACACGCAACGCCGCACACCTATGGCACATCGTCGCAGCGGAGAGCGCAATGGAGAGCGCAGCGAAGTGTTTCAATGAAGTGCTCCGCGCCCCGTTCAGCGGGCATTCTCCCCGCGCAATAATGCATGGCCAAAAAATTACGCCTTCTACCGAGCCACCGAGCCTACGTCAGAGAAGGCGGGCAGGTCGCGCCAACGCACTCCTGCCCCCCAGCATTCGCTCGACGCCCTGCACGCGCGCCGCGAGCCGGCGCAGCACCGGCAACTGATATCTGCGGAGCAGCGGCGTCAACCTTGCACGCGACGCCAGGACTGCTGCATCTGCGAGGCAGGCGATAGCGCGAGAAAATCTCGCGGTCACGCGATGACGCAGACCACCTGGCACCACTCACAACTCTCCGAAGGCGCGCCGTCGGGCAGCAGGTGCCAGGCGGAATGGCCCACGCTGATCTGCTCTCGCAGGCCGTCAATGAAATGCACGCGGCCTTTCTCAACAATGCCGCCGACGGCGTGCCCTGGGTGCTCGGGCGCGGCATCGTAAACGACGACGCAGCGCCCGGTCTGGGAGCCCCTGGCCGACTGGGGTCGCGAGCGGAGAAACGACAAACCAAAGAGGCTGATCATAGCCTCTGCCTCGCCCAGAGTGTAGGGGCCTGGGCGATCGTAGGGCACGGGAACGCCAACGGCGCCGAGGGCATCCAGGAGGCAGCAGACTGGGCATTGCAGCACATTCTCGGGGCGGACCTGCATCGACAGGGCGGAGCCGAGTGGTCTGTCGCACAGGCGGGCCCCCCGCGGGAGGCGGGCGGGCCGCTCGCCCTGGGCCTCGCTCTCGTCCCCGCTTGAGAGAACGTCGATCACGGCGCCACTGGCGCTGGCTGCGGCGGGCGCCGCAGCGGGACTGCCGGTCTTCGGCCTCGCGGCCGCGCCCGGCGCGGACCTGGCGCCGCTGGCGCTGTCCGATGCATGCCCCGCAGCGGCGCTGCCGGGATCCCTCTTCGATCTCGAGCCATCAGGTGCGTCGGCCGGATCCAACTCCACGCGCTCGCGCTTCGCGGGGAGAGGGCATCGGAACGCGCGGCGCGACATACCTGTCGGCGCCAGCGACCCCGCGGCCGGCAGGCGGAAGCGATACTGGCCGCCAGCATCCGGCCGCACGCGCACGCCGCCGGAGTCGGACGCCGGCGTGCCGGCAGTCGCGGGAACGCGGCGAACCCAAGGTGCAGCTGCCGCGGCGATGGCTGACGATAGAAGGTCGGCCGTGCGATTCGCCCACCACGAGGCGATTTCCTCCGAGGTCTTCTGCCGCACAGCCTCCTCAGGTCAGGTCAAGCCGTAGGCTGGGGCAGCCCATGGGCACGTGCACGGGGCATGGACCGGGACCCCGTCTTTGACGGCATCCGTCCTGCAAGCTGCGGAACGAGGCTGTGGATGTGCATGCATAGATCTGCGGTGCTACAACAGGAGGGGGAAAGGACGCACGGGGGGAAGGGAGGGACGCACGACGAGCGGGGACGAGAGGCGAGGCCAGGAGGGAGGGAGGAGGGACGAGCGACAAGGGGGCGACGGAGGAAACGCGGGCGAGACTTCTACGACACTGCGGCCGGCAACACTTTTGGGGGGAGGAAGAAGGAGGGAAGGGCAGTTTCAAGACTCCTTGACGATCTTGCGCCAGTGCTGCTCGTCGATGGCTGCGTCTGTCAATTGCTGGAAGCCGCCCGCGACGCGCAACCCGTCCGGCAGAACGGTCCGGATCCACTCTGTCCGGGGTCTCCCGCGCACCCGAATGTAGCGGTCCGTTGCTGGACGGAGAGATCTGCCCGGGCAGAATGATACGTCTCTCATTGCAGACCCCTCCGGCTGCCGGATGACCTTCCCGAGGAGGCGCAGTTGCCTTCGCCGCAGCTGCGCGGAGGCAGGCTCTGCCCCGGCCTTCTGGAGCACCGAGGCGTTGGAAATCCGAGAAATGTACGCACTGGGAATCTTCATGATAACCCTCAGGCATCTCGCCTGGAAACCGTCCAATCGGCGAAGATCTGCCTTGGTGAAGCACCCTGCGGCCAAACTGTATAACAGCTTCGACTCGATGAGCGCGTGGAAGACGCGCAACCGCCACTGCAAGGATAATGACGAATGTCTCCAAACTTGCCGGACTGCACGGAAGGCCGCGTGTGCCAGCCCGATGCGCCTTGTGAGTTCCCCAGACATTCTGCCGTCTGGCGTCAGACTGGTGCCAAGGTATATAAGCGCATCCTCGGTCTCCAGCGCGCGTCCGGATATGTGAAGAGGTCGGTTTGTGCGGCATTGCAGCAGCTGTAGCTTGTCCAGGTGAAGCTCGAGGCCGTACGCCTGTCCAGCCTGTGCCACAGCCGAGGCGAATTCCTCCACGTGCGCCGCGTTGGAACCGATGAGCAACGTGTCGTCGGCAAAAGCAATGTCCGCGAGATCCCCGCTGCAGTGCGCCATTGCTGCAGAAGGTCCCAGGAGCGCCACTGCGTCTTCCATTAGTGCACTCATGACAACAATGAACAGGAGCGGGCTCAGGGTGCACCCCTGGGAGATCCCAGAATTCTGGCGGCGAGTGGCTGACTGGCGGCCCATGTCGTCGACGAAGAAGTTCCGTCCGATCATGATGCTGCGCAGCAGCTCTCTGTACATCACAGGAATGCCGAAACGTTCCAGGGCCGATATCATGCCGTCTACGCCGACGCTGTCGAAGGCTTTCCTCCAGTCTAACGCAAGCAAGGACACCGCCCCGTTTTTCTGGGCGCAGGCGAGCTCAATGCGCCGCCGTGCTACGTAGATCGCGTCCTCTGTGCTCCTCTTGGCCCGGAAGCCGAACTGGGTCGGCCAGAGACGCTCGTCCAAGTCCGCGTCCAGAAAGCGTTGCTTGATCATGCTCGCGAAGACGCGGTACGCCACAGAGGTGAGGCAGATGGGGCGGTAGTTTTCCATGCAGCCAGGGTCTTTTTTCTTATATATCATGGTCACCCGAGATGTCATCCACTCTGCTGGCACTGCTCCATCGCGAAGGCACTGGTTCATGATGTCTAGAAGAGCACCCAAGTCTGTGCCAGTTGATGTCACCAGCACCTTGAAGGCCTCTATGGGAACGTCTCCGTCGACCACGCTCTTCCCGCTGGCCATCTTGCGGATAGCCTTGCGGAGCTCCGCGGTGGTGAACTGCGACTCGACAACCGGCAATGGCAAATGAGATGGAAGGTCTCTTTCAGGGAGTACTGCTGCTGGCCGGACCCTCCACTGCACTGTCTCCAGAAACTCTGCGAAGGTTTCCGCCCGCTCTTCGGTGCCGACAGTCATGCCGTCCACGGCGTTCAAGCGCGTCTGCAATACCTTTCTGCCTCTGCGCAGCTTCTGGATCGCACAGCCTCCTGCACCTCGCATACGAGATTGTACTCATTTTCGACGTGCAGCGCATAGTCTGGGCGCACGCAGTCCTCATTGGCCCATGCCCTGGTAGAACCCGGCCAGGACGCCCTTGTTGCCAGGCAGCAAGAAGTCGGACGCGACGTCGCCCTGGGTGAACTGAAAGATTTTGGCAGTGTCGTCGGAGCTGGGCCCGCACATACAGAGCGCGCCGGCCGACGACGACCAGCACGAACCGCTTGGCGAGGGCGAGCCTGTGCGATTGGCTCAGGTAGCCGAAGGGCTTCTCGAGCATCTTCATGAAGAGCTGCGGGTCGACGAAGAATCCAGCCGAGGGCGGCGGCTCAGCATCTTCAGACCAACTATCGCTGAGAAGTGCGTGGAACTGTCCCTTTGCCCATTTTGGGGGGTGTATCTCGCGTCAGAATGGCCGGCTGTGTGGATGGTGCCGAAGGCCTTCAGGTCCTCGACATCGATGCGGTCCAGAGACGGATCGTCGAGCAGTATACCCACATAGACAGGAGTCGCCTTGTCACGGAACACATCCATCTGTTTGCCGCGCCGGTAGCCAGGCTTTTTGTCGATGCCATTGCTCCGCGTCACGTATCGACCCCAGGCCACGGCTGCGATCTGGCACAGGGGGGGGCCCCCCACTCCGGGAGCACCAAGGACCATGGTGCCAGAGAGCGGGGCGAAGGCATAGATCAATGGCAGCAGCAGATCCTGGACGACAGGGTGCAGGTCGCACGACGTCATCGGGAAGAAAGTGTCTACATCGGCTGAGGCAGATGCCTTGTCCATGTTCACCAACGCCTTCTCGATCTGGCTAGTCGGCCACGCATAGCAGGCGCTTGACCGGACCTTAGTCTGCAGCAGCACCCACTCCTGAGCTTCGATCGCACTCGAGCCGGCAATATCATGGTAGTGGTCGCGGATGTATGCGAAGCCGTCGCGGATCTCTTCTGGCGTCGGGTCCCACCCCTTCCCTTGCTGATATTCCGGATGCCCCTTGCGAGTCACACTGAAATGGCGAACGTGGAAACCAGGCAGGCGGTCGAGCATCGCGATGAAGTTCTTCCGCTGGCCCCACGTGTTGTTTTCCTCAGCCGCAGGGAACGTCGCCGACTGGCCCATGGTGTACAGGCGCGCGTCTGCACGCTTCAGGTTGCTACCGTGCTTGAAGATGAAATGGCGCAGCACGTTGTACCGCCCCACACCGGCTCGCTGGACGACGAACTGCGCCTTCACACTCGCAGGCGCTCCCTGAGAAATCTTCAGCACGTCCGGCAAGCCCGCCATTGCCTGTGGCCCACCACTCTCGAAGGTAGTCTTGACCTCCTGTTCGTCGATGCTACCCGGCCACGACATCACCACGTCGAGCAGGTTCTGCATGTGGGCGACCTGTTCGACTGGGCGGAAAAGGAAGTCCTCCATCTCGAGCGCGACCGCCACGACAGGGTTCACCATCCTGCCTTGGTTGTCTGGCCGACTGCAGGGGGCATTTTTCGATCGCAGACGTCACCTCTCTCGGATGGTGAGATGGCGAAAGATCGAAGACCGGATCGAGCAGAATTCAAGTTGGCGGCTGAGACTGGAAAGGAAAAATATTGGGAGCATGACCGGGATCACACTCAGTAGCTCTAGGGGCGATCAGCTGCGCGATCTGGCAAGATCCGATCACATTGCGAGCTCAGGCGCAAGCATTGGGCAGCCGTCAGGGTGACGAGGCGAGACTCGCCATCATCCAGACGGCGCAGCTCAGCAAGGCGTTCGTCCGCAGACAAAGGCATGGTGGCCACGTGGATCTCGACTCTGATCGACTGTTCGTTTGAGCAAGCGTGGCGAAGATACGAAGATGAACCGAGTAATGGGAACAAGATGCTAGTCCCCTATCTGCCGGACATGAACTGGAATCGTTTTTCGGGCCATTTTTCCCATCGAACAATGAGCCTTCGGTGATTCATCTCCGGTCGACCAGAGACCGGAAACCGAAAATCCCTCCAGGACTCATCTCCAGTCGACCACAGACCGGAGACCGGAGATTCCTCCAGGACCCATCCCTCCAGGACTCATCTCCGGTCGACCGGAGACCAGAGACCGGAGATCCCTCCAGGACTCATCTTCGGTCGACCGGAGATGAATCCTCAGACGCTCTCCGGTCGACCGGAGACTGGAGACCGGAGATCCCTCCAGGACTCATCTCCGGTCGACCGGAGATGAGTCCTCAGACGATCTCCGGTCTCCGGTCTCCGGTCTCCGGTCGACCGGAGATGAATCCTCAGACGATCTCCGGTCGACCGGAGACCGGAGACCGGAGATCCCTCCAGGACTCATCTCCTGTCGACCGGAGATCAGTCCTCAGACGATCTCCGGTCTCCGGTTTCCGGTCGACCGGAGATGAGTCCTGAAAGGATCTCCGGTCTCCGGTCTCCAGTCGACCGGAGATGAGTCCTGGAGGAATCTCTGGTCTCCGGTCTCCGGTCTCCGGTCGACCGGAGATGATCTCATAGAATGGCGTGAGTTACAGGCTTGTGAGTAGGCGGCCTGACGAAACTGCGATGCTACAACATAGATCGTAAGATATCTGGAGGCGATTGAAGTTCAAAGGTTGGCGATCTCTTCTCGGTATCGCCCGATTGGGTGCCGCCACCCATACATACATACATACATATACACACACACATTAATACATACATACATACATACATACATACATACATACATACATACATACATGCATACGTACGTACGTACGTATGTACGTACGTACGTACGTACGTACATACATACATACATACATACATACATACATACATACATACATACATACATGCATACATACATACATACATACATACATACATACACATTCAACAAAACACAAAAAAAGGATTGTGTCAGGGAGCCGGGGCCAGGCCGGGCAGGGGGGTAATTTTTGATGAAGAAAACACAAAATCGGGACATAACTGTGTCAGCGGACCCGGGCCAGGCTGGGCAGGGCGTTGTTGCTTGATCAAGAGGACACGAGATCGGGACAGAACTTACTCAGGCGATTTGGGCCAGGCCCGACGGCGGGTGTGTTGTTTGTTTAAGAGGACACCTGATCGGGACAGAATTGTGCCAGGGGGCCGGGGTCAGACCTGGGGTGCTAATTGTTTGAAGAACACCAGCTCGGAACAGAATTGTGTTCGGGAGCCGGGGCCAGGCAGGGCAGGGGGGGATTTTATGTGAAAAAGAAGACAGCAGATCTGGACAGAATTGCGCGAGGGGACCGGGGCCGCACCCGCCCGGGCCAGGCCGGGCAGGGGGGTGTTGTTTGATTAACAGGACACCAGATCGGGACAGAACTGTGTCAGGGGACCCCGGCCAGGATGGCCTGGGTGTGTTGTATGTTTAAGAGGACACCAGATCGAGACATAATCCGCCGGCCCCTTTTGTGGGGCCACCAGGCTGTAGGACGAAGCTTCGCAGTTTCCTGTGCCAGTTGCAGCTTCCAGTTTCCACTGTTACAGTTCTGCTTCTTGCTGCTTACTGTCTGCTTCATGCTGCGTACTGTTCCTTGTTGATGGACCGCGCGAGGGGGGGAGGCCCAAAACGAGCATTTTTCCCTCGCCCAAATCGTATGATCTGAATTGCTGGGGTGGGTAAAACTTGACACTCCTCACGCAGATCGGCGGGGTCAGGATCCTAAAACACATGGGATTTGCCACATTTCTCAAAATTCGGTGGCACCATTCACGCAGATCGGCGGGGCCTCGAAGCGTATCCACGCAATCTCACTGATTTCGTCTATCATAAACTGGGAGCCGGCGGTAAACCGTCAACCAGGTTACCGCCGGAAGCCTCGTAGAGCTCTGTTCTCGCACGACGCCGCTCGCAAAACAGGGAGGGAGCTACTCTCAAGCGCAAGCTGAAAAACTTGAGAAACAAAAAAACACGTTTTTCGGTTTTTATGCAAAGTCGGTTCCGCCAAGTGTTTTGATAGTAATACTGCAGCTCACACCTGAGAATTTCACTGGCTGACGCGGCATATCCCACTACAGGTGCGAAAGATGACGGTTCTCAAAACGCATTTCAAAATCTCTGACAATCTCCGAAAAACCGACCCGAGGTTGACACATTGTCCGTCCGGGCGGGGTCGGCCAACTAGCTGCACCCCGCGCCAGAATTCCTCTAGCTCATCGATGCCGAAGAACTCTACGAGGTATAGCGTCTCACACGCTCGGTGGTACCTCGTAGAGCTCCTCGCCATCGATGAGGTAGAAAATTCCGGCGCGGGGTGCAGCTAGAGAGCCAATCTGACCCGGGCGGACAATGTGCGACTGGGAGCCGGCGGTAAACTGTCAACCAGGCTACCGCCGGGGGCCTCGAAGAGCATTTTTCTCGCAAGGCGCTGCTCGGAACACATGGCGGAAGTTTTCTCAAGCGCGAGCTAAAAAACTCGAAACAAAAAAAACCTTTTTTTTCGGTTTTCATCTAAACTCGGTTCCCCCTAATGTTTTGATAGTAATACGCGGCTACGGACCTGAAACTTGCACTGGCAGACGCGGCATAACCCATTACAGGCGCGAAAAATACCGTTCTCGAAACGAATTTCAAAATCTCTCACACTCTTGCAAAAACCAACCCCAGGTCATCACATTGCCCGCCTGGGCCGGGTCCGTCAACTGGCGCCGGCGGTAAACCGTCAACCTGGTTGCGCCTGCAGAGCTCATACTGAGACGCAGAGACCCTCATAGTCTCCTACAGGTGCGAAAAAACCTGGTTTCTTAAAATAAACGGTCGAATATCTTTCAAATCGTAGCAAAACCGACCCAAAGTGGTCACATTGTCCTTTCTGGTCGGGTCGGCCAACTGGGCGCCGGCGGTAAACCGTCAACCTTGGTTACCGCCGGGAGACTCGTAGAGCTTCCTCGCTCATGCAGCTTGAGTTCAATCATGAGAACCCAAAAGAATTAGCAGAGTACGACTAGTTTTCCAGCCCGAGCGCTGATAGCAAACTGATTTCGGGCGTCTAGATATTTTTAACTAGCGCCCCAAATGATTCCCTTCCAATTGCTATGTTAAATAGCTCTGTAGCTCATCTGCAGCACGAGTTAAGTGACGAAAACCAATACCATCTCCAAGAAATTAGCAGAGTACAAATAGTTTTTCAGCCCAAGCGCTAATAGCAGACTGATTTCAGGCGTCTTGGTACTTTAGAATAGCGCATATGATGCGTTCCTTCCGATTGATGCGCCTAAGAGCGCTGGAGCTCATCTCCAGCTCGAGGTAAGTCGAGAAAACCAATTCCATCTCCAAAAAAATAGCAGAGTATAAATAGTGTTTCGGCGTCTGCGCTGATACAGACCGAGTCCTGATCTCTAGTCGCGCCTGAAAATTGCCATATGATTCGACTGCTGAACAGCTATGTAGCTCATCCTCAACGCGAGTCAAGTCAAAACAAAACGTCACCAAATCGAAACAAATTCAGAATACGGATAGCTTTTCAGTCCCAGCGCTGATAGCAACCGAATTCAGGCGTCTAGATACTTAGAACTATCGCGCCTGATGATGCCCTTCCGATTGCTGAGCCGAACAGCTCTGGAGCACATTTGCAGCTCGACTTACGTCAAGAAAACCATCACAATCTCCCCAAAAAATGGGGGGACGAATAGTTGTGTGGCTCCAGTGCTAATAGCACTCCAAGTTCGGGCGTCTAGATACTTGAGACTAGCGCGTCTGATCATTGCCTTCCGATTGCTATGCCGAAGAGCCCTTTAGCTAACCTAAGGCTCGAGTTAAGTCAAGAAATTCATCATCATCTCCCGGGAAAACAATAGAGTGCGAAGAGGTTCGCGGACCTAGCTCGAGTAGCAGACCGAGTTCACACCTCTAGATGCTGGAGACGAACGCGCCTGATGATTCTGAATCGATTCGTGTGAGTACTAGCTCTGTAAGCTGTCCTGCAGCTCGAGTCGAGTACAGAAAACCGACAGCACCTGTCAAGATGACTCGAAACAGCCGATCCCGCCTGGATGCTTTTTGGCAGTAATAGGTACCCGATCGAGCTGAGATTAAGACGGCGAGCGTGAATAAGATCGAATAGCACGGGAAAAGATACTAGAGCTCTAACGAATGGCTGAAGTTTGGGATCATGATTTTCAACCGAGCAAAAGTCAGCAAAAGGTCCGTCGAGATTTTCTTGCCAACTAGCCCTCCAGCGCCCCGGAACTGGCGCCGGCGGTACACCGTCAACCTGGTCTTTTTGGGGTCTTTGCTGGGACCATCTTGGCCACTGAGGCCAGGTCCAACGAAGTCTCAGGCGAAGCGAAGCCTCTAAATTGTCAAGCAAGCAGTCCGCTCATAGAGAAACAGAAACATGCATGACCAACGACGTTCGCACAACCTGTGGGAGAACATCGCAGATGCGCTCCGCCGCTGATAACTTTGTATCAGGGATCAGACCTAGGTCCGCAGGTGCAGTATACAGACAACCCTACAACAGTGAGAACACTGAAGAGGCGACACTAAAACTACGACAAGAGAGCCAGGAGAGCTGGCCAAGAACTGAACATGCACACAATGAATTGTTAGAGCTCAAACAAATGCATATGCCCCATGTCTATGGACCGAAAGGCAACACTACCGAAACACAAGCAATAAACAAAGGCAACGAACAAACTAAAAAAGACTATGCACTGAATAAGGATGCACTGAATGACCACACAAGGCAATCACAATCTGAAAGACTATGCACTGAATAAGGATGCACTGAATGACCACACGAGGCAATCACAATCAACAATAAAAAAGACCACGCGAGGCAATCACAATCAACAATCCAATACAATTCAGCGTACAATACACAGAGGTAATGTATGCAGACAATCATGTTCAAAGCTGCCCTATCGTTTGCCTTTGCCTCTGCCTTTGCGGCTACCTCTAGAGCTCCCACCGTTATCGGGAGAAACTCGAATGCTCTGGGGAGATTCGGGAACCAACTTTTGATGTCCAGTCTTGGCTATCACATCCGAAGCGACACGGACAGACGACGACCCCGACGGAGAGGCGATTCGTCCACGTGGCGACGTAATTGGGGCTCCCACATTTGCTGTAGTCTCCGGGTGTCTGCTGCGAGTCTCCGCGGGTCTGCGCGACTGGCACTCTCGAAGAGTCCGTCTGGAACAAAACTGAAACAATCGACAATGTACCCTGGAGCTTTAAACCTGGCCTCCTCGGCACGGTCCATTTTCCCCGTCACGAAACGGTGAGATTTGAGACAATCCAAAAGTTCTCCCAGAAACGACTGAACATGATCCGTGAGGTTGAACAAAGTATGGAACATCCGTGAGGTCACCGCCGGGAACCTCGTAGAGCTCCTTGCATGCGTAAGAGTGCTCAGAATCGAAGCAGGGAACTTCGCAGAAGATGTTCTTAAAATCTTGATTTTTGCATGTTTGGATGTGAATATGAAGTCGGTTCCCGGAAGTGAACCAATAGTAAAACTCCCTCGGCAAAGCTGAGCTGATCTCAGAACAAACTTTATATGCCAATGCTCAGCATCAAAATCTAATTTCTTACATAAGTTGTTATATATCTTGCAAATCTTAGCAAAACCGACCCAAAAGTGTCACATTGTCCTTTCTGGTCGGGTCGACCAACTAGCTCCACCCCGCGCCGGAATTCCTCTAGCTCATCTATGCCGAAGATCTCTACGAGGTATTCTTAGCGAAAGAAAGCCCGAGTTACCACATTAGAACTAATTCGAATATGTTAACTCGCTCTCGGAGCACTGGGCGCCGGCGGTAAGCCGTCAACCTTGGTTACCGCCGGGGAACTCGTAGAGCTTCCTTGCCATATACAATCTCTAATGAATAAGCAGAGTACAAATAGTTGTTCAGCCCGAGCGCTAATAGCAGACTGATTGCAGCGGTCTAGATACATTCAACTAGCGCCTCTAATGATTTCCTTCCGATTGTTGTGCAGAACAGCCCTGTCGCTCATCTGCAGCGCGAGTTGACCAAGGAAACCAATACCGTCCCCAAGAAATTAGCAGAGTACGAATAGTTGTTCAGCCCGAGCGCTGATAGAAATCTGACTTTAGGGGTCTAGATACTATCAAATAGCGCGCCTCATGATTGTCTTCCGATTGCTGTGCCTAAGAGCTCGGGAGCTCATCTGCAGCTCGAGTTTAGTCAGAAAAACCATTCCATCACCAGGAAAAAAGCAGAATATGAATAGTCGTTCGCCTTCTGTGCTGAGAACAGACCAAATCCAAGCGTCTAGATACTTCAGACTAGCTCGTCTGATGATTTCCTCCCGATGTCTGTGCCAAATAGCTCTGAAGCCTGGATACAGCTCGACTTCAGTCAAGGATCTCACCATCGTCTCGAAAAAAATCGGTATAATACGAATAGCTTCGCAGACCTAGCTCGAGTAGCAGACCGAGTTCGGACCTCTAGATGCTTCAGACGAACGCGCCTGATGATTCTGAATCGAGTACGTGTGCGCATCAGCTCTGTAGCTCTCCTACAGCTCGAATTCAGCACAGAAAACCGACAACAGCTGTCAAGAAAATTCGTACAATACGAATACTTTTACGGACCTAGCTCGAGAAGTAGACCGAGTTCAGACCTCCAGATGCTTCAGACGAACGCGCATGATGATTATGAATCGATTCCGTGGGCGTACAAGCTATGTACCTCTCCTAGAGTTCGAGTTAAGTACAGAATTATCCTGGCGAAGGACCCAACCATATGCAGTTGTGAATGCCGCAATTGTGAATGCCATCTTCGCCTGCGCTCCCTATGTGGCCACGGCTTCCCGCCGGAGCCCGACATGCTCAGGGACACGTTCGTGGCCGTCTTCGCGGGCGCCGACGACGACAAGGACGGCGTCCCTCTCACCGAGGAGCAGAAGCAGGAGAAGGCCTTGAGAGCCATGAAGGAGGAGTTGGCGTTGCACGTCGACAAGGCGGAGTACGACGCCCATGCGCGGTTGTTGAAGCAGCGCAACTATGGGGCCACGATCCTCGTGAGGGATGTGCCGCTATGGCCCGGGGCCACCATGCGAACCCTGCCACTGGCGCCTTCGGTGGAGCTCCAGTGGGGCCACGGTCCTCGTGAGCCGAAATGGCCCGAGGCCGCCATGCGAACCCTGCCACTGGGGCCTTCGGTGGAGCTCCCCATAGGGCCACGATCCTCGTGAGGGGTGTGCCGAAATGGCCCGAGGCCGCCATGCGAACCCTGCCACTGGCGCCTTCGGTGGAGCTCCCTATGGGGCCACGATCCTCGTGAGGGGTGTGCCGAAATGGCCCGAGGCCGCCATGCGAACCCTGCCACTGGCGCCTTCGGTGGAGCTCCCTATGGGGCCACGATCCTCGTGAGGGGTGTGCCGAAATGGCCCGAGGCCGCCATGCGAACCCTGCCACTGGGGGCCTTCGGTGGAGCTCCCTATGGGGCCACAATCCTCGAGAGGGGTGTGCCGAAATGGCCCGAGGCCGCCATGCGAACCCTGCCACTGGCGCCTTCAGTGGAGCTCCCTATGGGGCCACGATCCTCGTGAGGGGTGTGCCGAAATGGCCCGAGGCCGCCATGCGAACCCTGCCACTGGGGCCTTCGGTGGAGCTCCCTATGGGGCCACGATCCTCGTGAGGGGTGTGCCGAAATGGCCCGAGGCCGCCATGCGAACCCTGCCACTGGCGCCTTCGGCGGAGCTCCCTATGGGGCCACGATCCTCGTGAGGGGTGTGCCGAAATGGCCCGAGGCCGCCATGCGAACCCTGCCACTGGGCCTTCGGTGGAGCTCCCTATGGGGCCACGATCCTCGTGAGGGGTGTGCCGAAATGGCCCGAGGCCGCCATGCGAACCCTGCCGCTGGCGCCTTCGGTGGAGCTCCCTATGGGGCCACGATCCTCGTGAGGGGTGTGCCGAAATGGCCCGAGGCCGCCATGCGAACCCTGCCACTGGCGCCTTCGGTGGAGCTCCCTATGGGGCCACGATCCTGTGAGGGGTGTGCCGAAATGGCCCGAGGCCGCCATGCGAACCCTGCCACTGGCGCCTTCGGTGGAGCTCCCTATGGGGCCACGATCCTCGTGAGGGGTGTGCCGAAATGGCCCGAGGCCGCCATGCGAACCCTGCCATGGGGGCCTTCGGTGGAGCTCCCTATGTGGCCACGATCCTCGTGAGGGGTGTGCCGAAATGGCCCGAGGCCGCCATGCGAACCCTGCCACTGGCGCCTTCGGCGGGGCTCCCTATGGGGCCACGATCCTCGTGAGGGGTGTGCCGAAATGGCCCGAGGCCGCCATGCGAACCCTGCCACTGCAGCCTTCGGTGGAGCTCCCTATGGGGCCACGATCCTCGTGAGGGGTGTGCCGAAATGGCCCGAGGCCGCCATGCGAACCCTGCCACTGGAGCCTTCGGTGGAGCTCCCTATGGGGCCACGATCTTCGTGAGGGGTGTGCCGAAATGGCCCGAGGCCGCCATGCGAACCCTGCCAGTGGGGCCTTCGGTGGAGCTCCCTATGGGGCCACGAAGCGGTGGGTGAAACGCAGGGATGAAGAGGAGGAAGGGGGCAGCGGGAGGAGGAGTGGACGCGGGGCGCTGTCTCTTCAAAACGAGGACCCAACACCACAGGATGGTTGGGAAAAAAGAGAGCACCTGTCAAGAAATTTTGTCCAATACGAACAGTTTCGCGGACCTACCTCGAGAAGTGGACCGAGTGCATACCTCTAGATGCTTGCGACGAACGCGTCTGATGATTCTGAATCGATTACGTGGGCGCACCACCTGTGTAGCCCTCCTACAGCTCGAGTTAAGTACCGAAAACCGACAGCATCTGTCAAAAAAACTGTAGAATACCAATAGTTTCGCGGACTTAGCTCGAGTAGCAGAGTGATTTTAGACCTCTACATGCTTCAGATGAACGCGCCTGATGATTCTGAATCGGCTTCTGTGCGCACCAGCTCTGTAGCTCTCCTAAATCTCGAGTTATGTACAGAGAACCGTCACCGCGTGTCAAGATGACTCGAAACGGCCGATCCCGCCTGGATGCTTCTGGCAGTAATAGGTACCCGATCGAGCTGAGATCGAGACGGCGAGCGGGAATAAGATCGAATATCACGGGAAAAAAGACTAGAGCTCAAACGAATTGAGGAATTTCGAGAACATAATTTTCAACCGAGCAAAAGTCACCAAAAGGTCCGTCGAGATTTTTCTTGCCAACCAGCTCTCCAGTGCCCCGGAATTTCTCTTCAGTTTCCAGCAACTAGCTAAGGGACGCTCTACGAATTATTTCTAGAGAAACGTCAAATTTGCATTTTTCGGTGTCAACGTGATCTCGGACCCTCCAAATGTTTCAATAGTAAAACTCTCGCTAGAGAGCTCAGGTGTTCTAAGAACAAAATTAAACACTAATGCTCGGAGTAAAATAATCTGCTTTCTCAAAATGAATTGTTGAATATATTCCACTGGCGCCAGCGGTGAACCGTCAACCTGATCACCGCCGGGAACCTCGTAGAGCTCCTTGCACGCAAAAAAATGCTGAGAATCGAAGCAAGCAGCTTCTGAGAGCATGTCTAGTTTGGGAACCGGCGGTAAACCGTCAACCAGATTTTTGCGTCTTTGCTGGGACCATCTTGGCCACTGAGGCCAGGTCCAACGAAGTCTCAGGCGAAGCGAAGCCTCAAAATTGTCAAGCAAGCAGTCCGCTCTTATAGAGAAACAGAAACATGCATGACCAAAGACGTTCGCACAACCTGTGGGAGAACATCGCAGATGCGCTCCGCCGCTGAAGGCTCGTACAACCCTACAACAGTGAGAACACTGAAGAGGCAAAAATAAAACTACGACAAGAGAGCCAGGAGACCTGGCCAAGAACTGAACATGCACACACTGAAGTATTAGAGCTCAAACAATGCACAGAATGACCACACGAGGCAATCACAAACAACAATCAAAAGACCACGCGAGGCAATCACAATCAGCAATCCAATACAATACAGCGTACAATACGCAGAGAGGTAATGTATGCAGACAATCATGTTCAAAGCTGCCCTATCGTTTGCCTTTGCCTCTGCCTTTGCGGCTACCTCTAGAGCTCCCACCGTTATCGGGAGAAACTCGAATGCTTTGGGAAGATTCGGGAAACAACTTTTGATGTCCTGTCTTGGCTATCACATCCGAAGCGACACGGACAGACGACGACCCCGACGGAAAGGCGATTCGTCCACGTGGCGACGAAATTCTGAGCTCTTGGGGCTCCCACATTTGCTGTAGTCTCCGGGTGTCTGCTGCGAGTCTCCGCGGGTCTGCGCGACTGGCACTCTCGAAGAGTCCGTCTGGAACAAAACTGAAACAATCGACAATGCACCCTGGAGCTTTAAACCTGGCCTCCTCGGCACGGTCCATTTTCCTCGTCACGAAACGGTGAGATTTGAGACGATCCAAAAGTTCTCCCAGAATCGACTGAACATGATCCGTGAGGTTGAACAAAGTATGGAACCAAAATGATACATGATGTTTTGGGATGGTCATTGGCTCTGTCATGAGGTCTACGAATAATTCAAGCCCCTGGATTAAATACTGCAGCGCAATCTGGGGCCAGTGAACCCCTTCTGGGCAGTGCTCCTGCCAATCCATGTTTTGACGGCGTCCTGGAAAGTGAGCTGAGTTTGCACACAGGCGTCCTTCAAAGTGAACTGAGTATGCACGCCAGCATCCATTGAAGTGAACTGAGTTTGCACACAGACGTCCTCGCAAGTGAACTGAGTTTGCACGCCAGCACCCATTGAAGACACTCGAATGCTTTGAGAATGCACTTGGACCTCAGCATCAATTGAGGACACTCGAATGCTCTGACAGGGACAGTGCACTTCGTCAACCTGGACACCAGCATCAATTGAAAAGACTCGAATGCTTTGAGAAGGATATTCGACCTCGTCAACCTGGACCCCAGCATCAATAGCAGAAGAAAAACCGCGAAGTGCAACGGAATCAACTTTCGGGCAGCTATCAGAGGGATGGAGTAATGCTGTCAACAACTTATTAGCCTGAGCATCCAACTCTGCATGCAAGACCGCGTCACGGGCGACTAGGCCTTCGAGCACCAACGGAAGAGGACAATTCGGTCGAACCCATCCAAGTTGGCAAGCCCGAGCCCGACGCAAACACCTGGATGCGAGACTCCGCACATGAGGCATCTGGCACAAACAAGACCACACATGGTAGGTATATGGCAGAAGACTGAGGGAAGATGTGCGAGGACACCTGAGAGATCACAACAATGAAATACTGCAAATTGAACAATATGCAATCCACGCAAGGCAGATCTGAAAAAACAGAGACTTACGAGCACCACTCTAGGCAGTGAGGAACAAGTCAGCGTATACAAATTGCCACCACCAAACCGCAACGATAAATGGATATGAGAGACCAACAATGACAAGCAGGATGTAAAGGGAGATGGGCAGTTGCGTAAGCAGAGCAAAACAACACGCTAGCTCAACGTTCACCTTCGCGGAGGTTCCCCAGGCAGGAGAAAATGAACGTTCGCGGAGCCTTGAGCCTTGAGCCGAGAGCCTTGAGCCGGGCACCTCGTAGAGCTCTTTTCTTGCACAGCGCTCCTCTGAACACATGAAGGAAGATTCAGGTGCGAGAGCCGAAAGATCAAAAGTCGGTTCCTCCAAGTGTTTTGATAGTATTGTTGAAGCTAGAGATCTAAGAATTGGACTGACAGACGCGGCATAACCCACTACAGGTGCGAAAAGTCTGCTTTCTCAAAATGAATTGTCAAACATCTTTCAAATCTTAGGAAAACCGGCCCAAAGTCACCACTTTGTCTGTTCTGGTCGGGTCGACCAACTAGCTCCACCCCGCGCCGGAATTCCTCTAGCTCATCGTTGCCGAAGAGCTCTACGAGGTAAAAACGTCAAAATGACATTTGTGGTGTCAATCTGATGTCCGTTCCCGCAAATTTTTGGATAGTGAAACACTCTCTGGCGAGCTGAGCTGCTCTGAGAACGAAGTTCACATACCTCGTAGAGCTCTTAGTTATTGATGAGCCAGAGGAATTCCGGCTCGGAGTGGAGCTAGTTGCTCGACCCGACAAGAGGCAAAGTGATATGGTCGGTATTGCTGGTATTTGAAAGATATTTGACAATTCATTTTGGTAAAACGGATGTTTACGCTGAGCATTGGCATTTGAAATTTGTTCCCAGATCAGCTCAGCTCTCTAGAGGCAGTTGTACTATCGAAAAATTAGGAGCAACCGACATCAAAGTGACAACGAAATGGGAACGGCGGTAAACCGTCAACCAGGTTACCGCCGGGCACCTCGTAGAGCGCTTTTCTTGCACAGCGCTCCTCTGAACACATGAAGAAAGATTCTAAAGCGAGAGCCGAAAAACTCTCGGAAAATCACGTTTTTCGGTTTTTATCCAAAGTCGGTCTCCAAGTGTTTTGATAGTAATACTGCATCTACGGACCTGAGAATTTCACTGGCAGACGCGGCATAACCCGCTACAGGTGTGAAAAATCTGCTTTCTTAAAAATGAATTGTCTAATAGCTTTCAAATCTTAGGAAAACCGATCCAAAGTCACCACTTGATCTCTTCTGGTCAGGTTCCACCCCCCACCGGAATTCCTCTAGCTCATCGGTAACGAAGAGCTCTACGAGGTAATTCGACGTTTTTCTGGAAATGCTCCGACTGGGAGCCAGCGGTAAACCGTGAGTCAGGTTACCGCCGGGAGCCTCGTGGAGTTCTTTCCTCGCACGGCCCTGCTCGTAACACGTGGGGGATCTTCCTCACACGTGAGCTGAGAACTCGAAAGAAATCGTTTTCTTCAGTTTTTTTTTAAAAAAAAAGAAAGTTCCTTCAAGTGTTTTGAAAGTAATACTGTCACTACGAACCTGAGAATTCAACTGCCGGACACGGCATAACCCACTACAGATGCGAAAAATACCGATTCTCGAAACGAATCTTCAAATCTCTGGGAAAGTTCGCCCAACCGACCAAATTTCCGATAAGCTCTCTGCTTTAAATCTAAGCACTCTTACGCTTGCAAGGAGCTGTACGAGGTTCCCGGCAGTAACCACTGGCGCCGGCGGTGAACCGTCAACCTAGTCACCGCCGGGGACCTCGTAGAGCTCCTTACAGGCACGAAAGTGCTCAGAATCGAAGCAGACAGCTTCTCGCGGCCTTTCTCGAAAAACATCAACTTTCCATTTTTCGATGTCACTCCGATGTCACTTCATTTGTTCATGTCGACATGAAAAAAAATGAATTTTCTTTTTTTCGAAAAAAAGGTTCCAGAAGCTCTCTCTTTCGATTCTGAGCAATCTCACGCGTGCGAGGAGCTCTACGAGATTCCCGGCGGTGACCAGGTTAACGGTTCACCGCCGGCGCCAGTACTGATGATGGGAGTGAATATCTGGTTTCTCGAATGAATTGTCAAACTGGGAGCCGGGGGTAAACCGTCAACCAGATTACCGCCGAGCTCTTTTCCTGCGCGGAACACATGGGGGAGCTCTCTTACGCGTGAGCTCAAAAACTTGAAAAAGTACGTTTTTCAGTTTTCATCGAAAGTCGGTTCCTGTTTTGATAGTAATACTGCAGCTACGGACTTGAGAATTTTACTGGCGGACGGGGCATCATGGCGGCAGCGGTGAACCGTCAACCTGATCACTGCCAGAATCTCCTGAAGCTTTGCATGCGGAAGAGTGCTTAGATTCAAGCAGAGAGCTTATCGGAGCATTTCTAGGAAACGTCGAATTTGCATTTTTCGTTCTCAACTTGATGTCTCCAAATTTTTCGATTGCAGAACTCTCTCGAGGGAGCGAGCTGCTCTGGAAACAAATTTTACACGCCACTGCTCGGCGTAAGAATCTACTGGGCGCCGGCGGTAAACCGACGACCTTTCTTTTTGGCGGTCTTTGCGATCGACTATGCGGGCCGCCAGGCCCAGTCGCTAGCAGGAAAAAGGGCGGCATACAGAGTCAGGCAAGACACCCGCCACTCTTTGAGCGGAAGTGGGCACATGCGAAACTCTTATTACGAACAAAGTGAAAAGCACGCGGAGCTCTTATACCAACACGCGCGCTTGCCCGACACACACACACAGCATGGCAAGAGTCAATGCAAACACAAAGTCCGAAGTATGTCGAAACCTCAGAGACACATCGATGATGCGACAACCGACCGTGTTACGATATTTCCATCAAAGAAACAACATGCACAAACCAAAGAATGTAAGAGAATGGTGATGCTGATCGGACCCATCTCAGATGGCAGGCCCGAGCGCGACGCATAAGGGGGACTCGTAGAGCTTCCTGACAATAAATAATGTCGATAAAAATCCAGAGAACGAATAGTTGTTCAGCCCGAGCGATTTCAGACCTCTCGATGCAACAGCCGAACGCCTCTGATGCTTCTGGATCGTTTTCTCTGCGAACGAGCTCTGTAGCTCTCCTACAGTCCGAGTTACGTGCGAAAATCGACAGCACCTCTCAAGATGACTCAAACAATATGAATAGTTTCGCGAACCTAGCTCGAGTATCAGACCGAGTTCAGCCTCTGAATGCGACAGGCGGACGCGCCTGATGTCTCCAAATCGATTCCTGTGATTACCAGCCCTGAACCCCCCTACAGCCCGAGGAAAGTGCAGAAAACCGACAGCACCTCTCCAGATAACTCGAACAATACGAATAGCTTCGCGGAGCTAGCTCGGGCAGGAGACCGATTTGCAGGCTCTGGCTTCGACAGGGGGGCGCGCCTGCTGTCTCCAAATCGATTCGTGTGATTACCAGCCCTGTAGCTCCCCTAGAGCCCGAGTTACGTACAGAAAACTGACAGCACCTCTCAAGATGACTCGGACAATATGAATAGTTTCGCGAACCTAGCTCGGGCAGCAGACCGAGTTCAGAGCTCTCGGTTCAACAGACGAACGCACCTGATGGTTCTGAATCGATTTATGTGAGTATGAGCTCTGTAGCTGCCCTATAGCTCGAGTTAAGTACAAAATACCGGCATCGCGTACCAAGATAACTCCAAACGGCCGATCCCGCCCGTGTGCTTTTTGGCAGTAAAAGTTACCCGATCGAGCTGGGATCAAGACGGCGAGCGGGAATAAGATCGAATATGACGGGAAAAAATACTAGAGCTCAAACGAATGGTTGAACTTCAAGAACAAAATTTTCAACCGACCAAAAGTCATCAAAAGGTCCGTCGAGATTTTTCTTGCCAACTAGCTCCCCAGTGCGCCGGAGTTACTCTTAAGCTTCCAGCAACTAGCTAAGGGAAGCTCTACGAGTTACTTTCTTAGAACGAATTGTAATATATCTTTCAAATACCAGCAAAACCGACGAAAAGCTACCACTTTGTCACCTCTGGTCGGGTCGACCAACTGGGCGCCGGCGGTAAACCGTCAACCTTTCTTACCGCCGGGGGACTCGTAGAGCTTCCTGACCATATATTATGTCCAAAGAATTAGCAGATAACGAATATTTTTCAGCCCGAGCGCTGATAGCAGACTGATCTCAGGCGTCTAGTGATATCCCACTGCTGTGCTGAACAGTTCTATAGCTCATCTGCAGCGCGTAGAAAATACCGTGTTTGGCGTCTGCGCTCACAACAGACCCAAACCAAGCGTCTAGATGCTTCGCGCCTCATGATGTCCACTTGATTTTTCGGCCGAAGAGCTTAGAAAAGAAAGTCGCCATCATTTTGAAAAGATTGTCTGTCGAATACGAATAGTTCTGTGAGCCTGGCTCGGTTAGCAGACCGAGTTCAGACTCTCGATGCAATAGACGAACGCTCCCAATGCTTCTGCAACAGTTTCTGTGCGCACCAGCTCTCTAGCTCTCCTACGGCCCGAGTTGAATGCAGAAAATGAACAAAATCTGTCAAGATGACTCGAAAAATACGAATAGTTTTGCAGACCTAGCCCGCGTAGCAGACCCAGTTCAGACCTCCAGATGCAACAGACGAACGCGCCTGATGATTTCGAACCGTTTCTGTGCGTATGAGCTCTGCAGCTCTCCTACAGCCCGAGTTACATGCGAAAACTGGCAGCACCTCTCAAGATCACTCGAATGATACCAATAGTTTCGCGGACCTAGCTCGAGTAGCAGACCGAGTTCAGACCTCTGGATGCAAGAGACGAACGCGCCTCATTATTCTGCATAGGTTTCTGTGCGTACCAGCTCTGTAGCTCGCCTTGCTCGAGTTAAGTGCAGAAAACCGAAAGTCCCTGTCGAGATGGCCCGAGCAATATGAATAGCTTTCCGGAACTAGTTCGAGTAGCAAACCGATTTCAGACCTCTACATGCAACAGCCTGACGCGCCTAATGTCTCGGATTGGGTTCCTGCAATTACCAGCCCTGTAGCCGCCCTACAGCACGAGTTAAGTACAGAAAACCGACAGCACCTCTCAAGATTACTCGAACAATATGCATAGTTTCGCGAACCTAGCTCGGGCAGCAGACCGATTTCAGACCTCTAGATGCGACAGACGAACGCGCCTGATGCTTCTGAATCGGTTTCTGTGAGTATCATCTCTGTAGCTCGCCTATAGCTCGAGTTAAATACAAAAAACCGTCAACGCATGTCAACATGACTCGAAACAGCTGATCCCGCCGGGATGCTTTTTGGCAGTAATATCTATCCGATCGAGCTGAGATTGAGATGGCGAGCGGGAATAAGATCGAATACCACGGGAAAAGATACTAGAGCTCCAACGAATGGCTGAATTTCGAAAACAAAATTTTCAACCGACCAAAAGTCACCAAAAGGTCCGTCGAGATTTTCTTGCCAACTAACTCTCCAGCGCGCCGGAACTGGGATCCGGCGGTAAACCGTCAACCAGGTAAACGCCGGGAGCCTCGTAGAGCTCTGTTCTCGCGCGGCGCTGCTCGGAGCACACGGAAAAAGCTTTCTCAAGCGTGCAGAAAAATGCTCGAACAATACCTTTTTTCATTCTGCATCTTCGTTTCGTGGACCTAGCTCGCCAGACCGACTTCAGATTCGATCCGAGAAAAGAAAGCGCCGGGTGATACTGGATCGTTGTATATGCGTACCAGCTCTGTAGCCATTCTAAATCATCAGTTGAGGAACACCGAGAACACCTATCAAGATCACTCGTACAATACGAATAGTTTTGCAGCTCTAGCTCGGTACCAGACCGAGTTCAGACCTCTAGATCGAACAGACGAACGCTCCTGATGATTCTAAATCGGTTCTACAAGCAGCAGCTCTGTAGCTGTCCTGAATCTCGAGTTAAGTACAGAAAACCGTCAACGCGTGTCAAGATGACTCGAAACGGCCGACGGTTCCAGGAAGTCTTTTGATAGTAATATTCCAGCTACGGACCTGAAAATTTGACTGGCAGACGCGGCATAACCCACTACAGGTGGGAAAAATACCGGCTCTCAAAACGAATTTTCTAATTTTGCACAAAGATAGAAAAACCGACCCCAAGTCGCCACATTATCTCTGAAGGTCGGGTCGGCCAACTGGGAACCGGCGGTGAACCGTCAACCAAGTTACCGCTGGGCACCTCGTAGAGCTCTTTTCTTGCACAGCGCTTCTCGGAACACATGAAAGAAGCTTCTGAAGTGAGAGCCGAAAAACTCGAGCAATGACGATTTGTTGGTTTTCATCTAAAGTCGGCTTCTCCGAGCGATTGGATAGTAAGATTGCACCTACGAACCTGATCATTCGACTGATACACGCGGCATAACCCACTCCCCTCCCTTCCTTCCTGCCTGCTCACCGCAAAAGCTTATCATGACTCAGAAAAACGCATTTTTTGGCGGTCGATAGAAAGTCGGTTTCTCTAATTGTTTTGATTGTAATACTGCCCCTAGAGACATGAAAAAATTACCATCAGCTGCGCCATAGCTTACTGCAGGGAATGCAAACCTCACTTCTCAAAATCAATTTCAACATTTTGCACAAAGATTGCAAAAACGACCCAAAGTTACCACATTGTCTCTTAAGGTCGGGTCGGCGAACTAGCTCCACCCTGCGCCCGAACTGGGAACCGGCGGTAAACCGTCAACCAAGTTACCGCCGGGCACCTCGTAGAGCTCTCTTCTTACACAGCACTTCTCGGTGCAGATCAGAGAAGCTGCGAGAGCCGAGCAACTCGAGCAATCACAATTTGTTGGTTTTCATCTAAAGTCGGCTTCTCCAAGCGATTCGATACCTACGAACCTGATAATTCGATTGAAACACGCGGCATAACCCACTCCCCCCTTCCTTCCTGCCTGATCACCGCAAAAGCTTATCATGACTCAGAAAAACTCTTTCTTTGGCGGTCGATAGGAAGTCGGTTCCTCCAAGTGTTTTGATAATAATACTGCCCCTAGAGCCATGAAAAATTTACCAGCAGCTGCGCCATAGCGAACTACAGGGAATGAGAATCTCACTTATCAAAATGAATTTCAAAATTTTGGACAAAGATTGCAAAACCGACCCAAAGTTACCACATTGTCTCTTAAGGTCGGGTCGGCCAACTAGCTCCACCCTGCGCCCGAACTGGGAACCGGCGGTAAACCGTCAACCAGGTTTTCTGCGTCTTTGCTGGGACCATCTTGGCCACTGAGGCCAGGTCCAACGAAGGCTCAGGCGAAGCGAAGCCTCTAAATTGTCAAGCATGCAGTCCGCTCTTATAGAGAAACAGAAACATGCATGACCAAAGACGTTCGCACAGACTGTGGGAGAACATCGCAGATGCGCTCCGCCGCTGATAACATTGTATCAGGGATCAGACCTAAGTCCGTAGGTGCAGTATACACACAACCCTACAATAGTGAGAACACTGAAGAGGCGAGACTAAAACTACGACAAGAGAGCCCGGAGACCTGGCCAAGAACTGAACATGCACACACTGAATTATTAGAGCTCAAACAAATGCATATGCACACACTGAATGACCACACGAGGCAATCACAATCTGAAAGACTATGCACTGAATACGGATGCACTGAATGACCACACGAGGCAATCACAATCAACAATCAAAAAGACCACGCGAGGCAATCACAATCAACAATCCAATACAATTCAGCGTACAATACACAGAGAGGTAATGTATGCAGTCAATCATGTTCAAAGCTGCCCTATCGTTTGCCTTTGCCTCTCCCTTTCCGGCTACCTCTAGAGCTCCCACCGATATCGGGAGAAACTCGAATGCTCTGGGAAGATTCGGGAACCAACTTTTGATGTCCAGTCTTGGCTATCACATCCGAAGCGACACGGACAGACGACAACCCCGACGGAGAGGCGATTCGTCCACGTGGCGACGGAAATTCTGAGCTCATGGGGCTCCCACATTTGCTGTAGTCTCCGGGGGGCTGCTGTGAGTCTCCGCGGGTCTGCGCGACTGGCACTCTCGAAGAGTCCGTCTGGAACAAAACTGAAACAATCGACAGTGTACCCTGGAGCTTTAAACCTGGCCTCATCGGCACGGTCCATTTTCCCCGTCACGAAACGGTGAGATTTGAGACAATCCAAAAGTTCTCCCAGAAACGACTGAACATGATCCGTGAGGTTGAACAAATTATGGAACCAAAATGATACATGATGTTTTGGGATGGTCATTGGCTCTGTCATGAGGTCTACGAATAATTCAAGCCCCTGGATTAAATACTGCAGCGCAATCTGGCTGGTGAACCCCTTCTGGGCAGTGCTCCTGTCAATCCATGTTTTGACGTCTTCCTGGAAAGTGAACTGAGTTTGCACACCGGCGTCCTTCAAAGTAAACTGAGTATGCACACCAGCATCCATTGAAGTGAACTGAGTTTGCACACAGGCGTCCTCGCAAGTGAACTGAGTTTGCACGCCGGCACCCATTGAAGACGCTCGAATGCTTTGAGAATGCACTTGGACCTCAGCACCAATTGACGACACTCGAATGCTCTGAAAGGGACAGTGCACTTCGTCAACCTGGACACCAGCATCAATTGAAAATACTCGAATGCTTTGAGAAGGATATTCGACCTCGTCAACCTGGACCCCAGCATCAATAGCAGAAGAAAAACCGCGAAGTACAACGGAATCAACTTTCGGGCAGCTATCAGAGGGATGGAGTAATGCTGTCAACCACTTATTAGCCTGAGCATCCAACTCTGCATGCAAGACCGTGTCACGGGCGACTAGGCCTTCGAGCACCAACGGAAGAGGACAATTCGGTCGAACCCATCCAAGTTGGCAAGCCCGAGCCCGACGCAAACACCTGGATGCGAGACTCCGCACATGAGGCATCTGGCACAAACAAGACCACAAATGATAGGTATATGGCAGAAAACTGAGGGAAGATGTGTAAGGACACCTGAGAGATCACAACAATGAAATACTGCAAATTGAACAATGTGCAATCCACACAAAGCAGATCTGAAAGAACAGAGACTTACGAGCACCACACTAGGCAGTGAGGAACAAGTCAGCGTATACAAATTGCCACCACCAAACCGCAACAAGAAATGGATATAAGAGACCAACAATGACAAGCAGGATGTACAGGGAGATGGGCAGTTGCGTAAGCAGAGCAAAACAACACGCTAGCTCAACGTTCACCTTCGCGGAGGTTCCCCAGGCAGGAGAAAATGAACGTTCGCGAAGCCTTGAGCCTTGAACCAGGTTACCGCCGGGCACCTCGTAGAGCTCTTTTCTTGCACAGCGCTCCTCGGAACACATGAAGGAAGCTTCTGGAGCGAGAGCCAGAAAACTCGAAAAATCACGATTTGTCGGTTTTCATCGAATCAGTTCCTCCAAATGTGATAGTAATACTGCACCTACGGATCTGAGAATTCGACTGACAGACGCGGCATAACCCACTCTCCTCCCTCTCTCGCTGCCTGCTCACCGAAAAAGCTTATCAGATTACGCAGGCAAACGAATTTTTAAATGTTGATACAAAGTCGGCTCCAAGTGTTTTGATAGTAACACTGCACCTAGAGCCATAAAAACTTAACCAGCAAATGCGCCATAGCAAACTACAGGGAATGAAAATCTCACTTCTGAAAAGGAACTTCAAAATTTTACACACAGTGGAAAAAAAAACACCCCCGGTTAACACATTGTCTCTTTTAGTCGGGCCCGCCACCTGGGCGCCGGCGGTAAACCGTCAACCTGTCTTACCGCCGGGGGACTCGTAGAGCTTCCTGACAATATATAATGTCGAGAGAATTGCAGAGAACGAATAGTTTTTCAGCCCAAGCGATTTCAGATCTGTCGATGCAACAGCCGAAAGCCCCCGATGTTTCTGGGGATTGTCTTCTCTACGAGCTCTGTAGCTCTCCTACAGCCCGAGTTACGTGCGATAATCGACAGCACCTCTCAAGATGACTCGAACAATACGAATAGTTTCGCGAACCTAGCTCGAGTAGCAGACCGAGTTCAGACCTCTGAATGCGACAGGCGGACGCGTCTGATGTCTCCGAATCGATTCCTGTGATTACCAGCCCTGCAGCCACCCTGCAGACCGAGTTGAGTGCAGAAAACCGACAGCACCTCTCAGGATGACTCGAACAATACGAATAGTTTCGCGAACTAGTTCGGGCAGCAGACCGAGTTCCGAGCTCTGGATTCGACAGGCGGACGCGCCTGATGTCTCCAAATCGATTCCTGTGGCCACCAGCACTGTAGCCCCCCTACAGCCCGAGTTAAGTGCAGAAAACCGACAGCACCTCTCAAGATGACTCGAACAATACGAATAGTTTCGCGAACCTAGATCGGGCAGCAGACCGAGTTCAGAGCTCTGGATTCAACAGACAAACGCGACTGATGATTTTGAATCGGTTTCTGTAAATATCAGCTCTGTAGCTGTCCTATAGCTCGAGTTAAGTACATAAAACCGAGAGCGCCTGTCAAGATGACTCGAATAATACGGATAGGTTTGCGCACCTAGCTCGAGTAGCAGACCGAGTTCAGACCTCTAGATGCAAGAAAGGAACGCACCCAATGATTCTGCATCGATGAGGTGTGCTCACCAGCTCTGTAGCTGTACTGTATCTCGAGCTAAGTCCAATATACCGACAGCGCATCAAGATGACTCGAAACGGCCGATCCCGGCTGGACGCTTTTTGGCAGAAAAAGGTACCCGATCGAGCTGAGACCAAGATGGCGAGCGAGAATAAGATCGAATATCACGGGAAAAAATACAAGAGCTCTAACGAATGGTTGGATTTCGAGAACAAAATTTTCAACCGACCAAAAGTCACCAGGTCCGTCGAGATTTTTCTTGCCAACTAGCTCTCCAGCGCCCCGGAACTGGGCGCTGGCGGTAAACCGTCACCCTTTCTTACCGCCGGGGGACTCGCAGAGCTTCCTGACAATATATAATGTCGAAAAAACATTGCAGAGAACGAATAGTTTTTCAGCCCAAGCGATTTCACACCTCTCGATGCAACAGCCGGACGCCCCCGATGCTTCTGGATTGTCTTCTGTACTAGCTCTGAAGCTCTCCTACAGCCCGAGTTACGTGCGTAAATCGATGGCAGCTCTCAAGATGACTCGAACAGAACAGTTTGGCGAACCCAGCTCGAGTATCAGACCGAGTTCAGACCTCTGAATGCGACAGACAGACGCGTCTGATGTCTCCGAATCGATTCCTGTGATTACCAGCCCTGCAGCCCCCTGCAGCGCGAGTTAAATGCAGGAAACCGAGAGCACCTCTCAGGATGACTCGAATAATACGAATAGTTTCGCGGACCTAGTTCGGGCAGCAGACCCAGTTCCGAGCTCTCGATGCGACAGGCGGACGCGCCTGATGGCTTCTCGATTCCTGTGATCACCTGCACAATAGCCCCCCAACAGCCGAGTTCAGTGTAGAAAACCGACAGCACCTCTCAAGATGACTCGAACAATACGAATAGTTTCGCGAACCTAGATCGGGCAGCAGACCGAGTTCAGAGCTCTGGATTCAACAGACAAACGCGACTGATGATTCTGAATCGGTTTCTAAGTATCAGCTCTGTAGCTGTTCCATAGCTCGAGTGTAGTGCAGAAAACCGACAGCACCTCTCAAGATGACTCGAACAATACGAACAGTTTCGTAGATGCAACAGACGAACGCGGATGATCATTCTGAATCGATAAGGTGTGCTTACCAGCCCTGAGCTGTCCTGTATCTCGAATGAAGTCGAATAAACTGACAGCGCGTATCAAGATGACTCGAAACGGCCGATCCCGCCCGTATGCCTTTTGGCAGTAAAAGGTACCCGATCGAGCTGAGATCAAGATGACAAAATAAGATCGAATATCACGGGAAGAAATACTAGAGCTCTAACGAATGGTTGAATTTGGAGAACAAACTTTTCAACCGACCAAAAGTCAGCAAAAGGTCCGTCGAGATTTTTTCTTGCCAACTAGCTCTCCAGCGCCCCGGAATGGCGCCGGCGGTAAACCGTCAACCTGGTCACCGCCGGGAACCTCGTGGAGCTCCTCCCACGCGTGTAAAGTGTTCAGAGTCGAAAGAGAGAGCTTCTCGAGGCCCCGGAATTAGTCTTAAGCTTCCAGTAACTGGCGCCGGCGGTGAGCTGTCAAGCTAGTGACCGCCGGGAACCTCGTAGAGCTCTTACACTGGTGAGAGTGCTCAGAATCGAAGTAGTCATAACAAAAAGATGTTTCGAAAATCTTTATTTCCGATTTTTTCGATGCTCATATTCGCTCGGTTCCCGGAAGTCAACTCATAAGAAAACGCACTGGAGGAGCTGAGCTATTGTGAGAGGAGTTTGTATGCCAATGCGGCGCGCAAAAATCTGCTTTCTCAGAATAAATGGTCAAATATCTTTCAAATTTTCGCAAAACCGACCAAGGGTCACCACTGTGTCCGCCCTGGCCCGGTAGGCCAACTGGGCGCCGGCGGTAGACCGTCAACCTTTCTTACCGCCGTGGGACTCGTAGAGCTTCCTTCCCATATAAAATGTCGAAAAAATGCAGAGAACGAATAGTGTTTCAGGCCAAGCGATTTCAGACCTCTCGATGGAACAGCGGAACGCCCCCGATGCTTCTGGATCGTTTTCTGTGCGAACGAGTTCTGTAGCTCTGCTACAGCCCGAGCTACGTGCGAAAATCGGCAGCACCTCTCAAGATGACTCGAACAATACGAATAGTTTCGCAACCTAGCTCGAGTATCAGACCGGGTTCAGACCTCTGAATGCGACAGGCGGACGCGCCTGATGTCTCCGAATCGATTCCTGCGATTACCAGCCCTGCAGCCACCCCACAGCCCGAGTTAACTGCAGAAAACCGACAGCACCTCTCAAGATGACTCGAACAATACGAACAGTTTCGCGGACCTAGCTCGGGCAGCAGACCGAGTTCCGAGCTCTGGATTCGACAGGCAGACGCGCCTGATGTCTCCAAATCGACTCGTGAGATTACCAGCCCTGTAGCCCCTCCATAGCCTGAGTTAAGTAAAGAAAACTGTACAGCACCTCACAAGATGACTCGAAGAATACAAATAGTTTCGCGAATCTAGCTCGGGCAGCAGACCGAGTTGAGAGCTCTGGATTCAACAGACGAACGCGCCTGATGATTCTCAATCGATTTCTGTGACTATGAGCTCTGTAGCTGCCCTACAGCTCGAGTGAGGTACAAAATACCGACAACGCGTATCAAGATGACTCGAAACAGCCGATCCCGCCCGTGTGCTTTTTGGCAGTAAAGGTACTGATCGAGCTGAGATTGAGATGGCGAGCAGAAATAAGATCGAACATCACGGAAAAATACTAGAGCTCTAACGAATGGTTGAATTTCGAGAACAAAATTTTCAACCGACCAAAAGTCAGCAAAAGTTCCGTCGAGATTTTTCTGGCCAACTGGCGCCGGCGGTAAGCCGTCAACCTGGTCACCGCCGGGAACCTCGTAGAGCTCCGCTCACGCGTGAGAGAGCTCAGAGTCGAAAGAGAGAGCTTCTGGAGACATTTCTCGAAAAAAATGAACATTCATTTTTTAATGTCGAATTAAAGTTGGTTGCTCCAAGTGTTTTGGTAGTAAAAGTGCGCCTAGAGAGCTCAGATTAACACACAGAGGCTCTGATAACCTTCTAGAGGTGCGAAAAATCTGGTTTCTTTATATAATCTGGGATCCGGCGTAAACCGTCAACCAGGTGACCGCCGGGAGCCTCGTAGAGCTCTGTTCTCGCGCGTTGCTCAGAGCATACGAAAAAATCTTTCTCAAGCGTGAAGGAAAGAACTCGAACAAACTGTTTTTTTTTCAGTTTGCATCTTGGCTTCGAGGACCCATCTCAGTGCCAGACCGAGTTCAGACCGCTCGATGCGAGGAAAGAACACGCCGGGTCATACTGGATCGGTTCATATGCGCAAGGCAATCCGACAGAACCTCTCAAGATCACTCGTAGAATACAAATAATAAATCTCGAGTAGCAGACCGAGTTCAGATCTCTCGATGGAACAGACAAACGCGCCTGATGATTTTTAATCGGTTTATGCTAGAAGCAGCGCCGTAGTGCTCCTGAATCCCGAGAGAAGTACAGAAAATGGTCAATGCCTGTATGCTCGAAACGGCCGACAGTTCCCTCAAGTCTCTTGATAGTAATATTGCAGCTACGGCCCTGAGAATTAGCTGGCAGACGCGGCATAACCCATTGCAGGTGGGAAAAATACCGGTTCTCAAAACGAACTTTCAAATTTTGCAGAAAGATTGAAAAACCGACCCCAACTTATCACATTGTCTCTTAAGGTCGGGTCGGCCAATGGCGC